TTTGAAATATGGCTGTTTGTCATTGTGAAACTTTGTGTGGGTGACCTGGGAGCTCTTTATACAGTGGGAGTAAACCGATTATTTCAAAGTTATACTGAGCAAGTATTAGCTGTGATCTTGAGCTATAACATATGTGGAAAAGGTGTAGAAGGGAATGATTTGCGGGAGGGAAAGGCGTGGAATTCAGAATGAGATGAGGAAAAGGTGTAAAGCTACTTTGCTTAGCTAGCCTGAATCACACTCCTGAGGAGAAAACGTAATGAATGTACTTTAGGGTGCCAGTACTTTCATCCATTAAAATTTAAACTTCTTCATTTGTACTAATACACATAGTTCTAGGTATTTTATATACTAGGCTATTTAACAAGTCATGTTCTTTTCTATATATTTATACAAAGCACAGTGTTTATTCTCAAAGCCTGGTTTTAGACATATTTAATATCATCAAGGGCACTCTAACGGTAAATACTGTTTCATCAAAAAGTACTTTGATGAAGCAGCTTGACTTTTGTTCCTGATTTTGCATTATATTTTGTGTTCCCTTATTCCACCTACATTCCTGTATTCAGTGTCTCCATTTGTAAAGTACTTCTACCTCACATGGTGCTGAAAGTAAACACATTAATTTTTGTGTAGTGCTTCTCCTTTTTAAAAGTGAGTTAGCTATAGTTCTTCCGAATTCTCCTAGTGCTCGACCAGAACAGTCATAAATGTGTCTGTTTCAGAGACTGCATCTTCCATGGTTTGGAAACTCATTTCTGTAACTCTGAATTCTAGGAACTTGGATACCAACTTATGTTTGGGAGCATGAGGATGAGCACACCTAACTGCAGAGTGCTAGGATGATACTACACCACCATGCTGAAGTTTAGTCCGAAGAATTCTTAAATGTATTGAATGTGTTTGGCTAGTGTACAGAAATGCTGAACTGCTTTGGAGAAACTGGTTAAGCACCAACGGGTATTTTTAGGCATCCAGATAATCTGGAGATTGGGCCTTGATCTCTTGATCTGCAATTTAAAAAATAGAAGTGCCATAGTCTATTCAAAACACTTCATGTACTCCTTCACTTGGGGAGGTAATAAATGCAAAGTACTAGTATTATTATCTTAGTGCTAGGATTAGTAGCCAGCCTTCATTCTTCCAGCTAAATAGCCATAGGTCATTACTTAATTTAGGTCTAAAACGTGATTTGATACTGCTGTATTTGATACCAGGTTTATTAGGTACATGTTATCAGTAATATTAAGACATGCTTTATGGAATCATAGAATCAGCTAGGTTGGAAAAGACTTTCAAATTATCAAGTCCAACCATTACCCCAGGATGCCAAGTCCACCACTAAACCATGTCAGAGGGCCTCATCTACACCGTTTTTGAACACTTCCAGGGGTGGTGATCCCACCATTTCCCTGCACAGTCTGTTCCAATGCCTGACCACCCTTTCAGTTGAAGGAAATTTTTCTTAATATCTGAGCTTTTCCTAGTGCAGCTTGAGGCTGTTACCTCTTTTCCTATCTTGTTACCTGGGAGAAAAAATTAGACACCTTCTCTCTCCATCCTCCTTTAAGGCAGTTGTAGAGAGTGATACTCCCCTTGAACTTTCTCTTCTCCAGACTAAACAGCCCCAGTTCCCTCAACTTCCTCATAAGACTTGTTTTCTAGATGCTTCACCAGCTTTGTTGCCCTTCTCTGGACCTGCTCCAGCAACTTAATGTCTGTTGAAAATGTCTTGTTCCCTCCTAAATATTAAGTAATATTTTGGTTTCCTGATGATCTGTGCAAGTACTAGAGAGAGAATAAAGTCAACGAAGTGACAAGGTAGTGAATTTTGTCTCTGGCCCATTATTGCATCAACCTGCTTTCACAGCAGCTTTTCCAGTGTAGGGCCCTCTCCCAAGGCAGTTTCTTACATTCTCAGCTGTTCTCTCCTTCCAATAGTAGACTTGCGTTTGTTATTTGTGCATATATGCATATAGTTACCTGAGAGTGGGATGGTTGTTAATTGAAGTGTGTCTGGCCCAAAGTCTGTTCCTGATCCTTCCCAAGAAAAGAAGGGGGGTTAGGAGTATGTCTGAGGTGTCAGCTGTGGTCTCCATATGACACGCAGTGTGCTATGTATCCTATCACACTGGGGTAAGGAAGTGGGGGGCAGGTGAAGTGCAAAGTTCTTTTTTGCCACCAAAATGTTACATTTCCTCTAGCTGGAAAGGTCTGACTCTGCTGGCATGAATAAAGTATAATGGGAATGTGTTGAGACTTCAGTGAATACATGAAGCACATCACTCTGCAGCATCAGAGAGCCAAGTATGAACAGTAAAAGTGTAAATACGTGCTGTGTGTCTGTATCCACCCGTGCCACATTCACTGAAATGAGGTGCCAGGTAAAAGGGAGTTCAGAATCACTTGGCTTTCTTGAAAAATACCAAGATGTCTTGTGAGCTCTCTCCCTTTGCTGAGGATTTGCTTCAGAGTGATGATTTTTTCAGCCCTTCACAGGTGAGATTTAGCTACCTGAACATAGGTACGCAGTTGCATTTCAAATGACTTGGCTCAGCAGGGCGCACGTGTGTAATTGTCAGCTGTTGCACTTGCCACATTCTGGAGCAGTAGCTGGATGGAGCAGTAGTTGGATGGAGCAGGACACTGGGGGTGTGTCCTGGGTTCAGCAGTAGCAGTCATTTTTCTCCTTGATAGCTAGTGCAGTGCTGTTTTGACTTTCGACTTGGGAACAGAGCTGATAACAAAGATGTTTTGGTTTGGCCAAGGACTTTGTGAGCCTCATGCTCTGCCAGGGAGGAGGGGAAGCCAGGAGGAAGCAGAGACAGGACACCTGACCCAAGCTAGCCAAAGAGGTATTCCATACCACAACACATCATGCCCAGGATGTAACTTGAGAGTTACCCAGAAGGACATAGGCTTCTGGGTCGGACTCATTTCTTGACGGGTGGTATTGTATTCTCTTCCCTTGTTATTTTCTCTTATTGTTGTCGTTGGTGGTAGCAGTGGTGATTTGTGTTGTACATTGGTTGCTGGACTGTTCTTGTCTCAACCCGTGGGAGTTGCACTCTTTCAATCCTCTTCCCCATCCCTCCGGGAGCGGAGATGGGGAGAACCCAGCGGGGTGGGGGGGGGGTGGGGCACTTGATTGCTTCCACCCCGGCACCACTCACTGGGAGTGAGTGAACAAGCTGTCTGGCTAGGGTTTAAACCATGACAGGGTGGCACCGATACCTTCATTTGGGTGACTGAATCTCTTCCAATAATCTGTCAGAACTTGGTTTTAGGAGGGTGCTAGTATAGGGGTACCTCTTCCCCATGAGGAGGGAAGTTTATTGCCTCAGTAAATACTTTACAGATTTCTGATATCTAACAAACCTAGCAGACCAGTGTATGTTAACTGTGCTAGACAAGTTCTGGTTGGTTTTATCAACCTGTGACTAGTTCTGTATTAAAACTAGGAAGAGAGACTGGCTGGTTGTCATTCCAGGGAGTTCTTGCTGCTTAGCTCAAACAAGCTACTTGAGAAGCTGAGTTTTCTATTATGTTTATCCATCTCCTTTCCAACCCTAATTATTCTATGATTCTGTGTCACAAACACTGTACTGCCCTGCAAACCACCCACAGTTACATTTCTGGTTAGTTCTCTAGTTTATGTGTAAGAAATTAGATTCCAAGTTGGTGCTTTTAAGGTGAACAACACTGCAAGTAGTTCTTCACTTCAGCTTTTTGTAAGTGCCTGTGGGGTGGCTGTTGCATTGCTTGATTTTAGGCATGGAAACGAGGGTATTCTCAAGTAAAGTGGATGCTAGCTTCCCATTGTTTCTGACAGAACTCAAGTTTAAAACTGAATAGAAACTGGGAGGAAGGAGTGGTTGCCTTCAGAGGTCCACATGTAACCCAGACCTACAGCATCTCTCCAGCGCTACACTGTGTATGGCAGACTTTGTGGCTAGAGATATCCAAAAGCAGTTCTTCCATTGAAAATACTCTCGTGGGGTGTTCATTAAATGTTTCTGCTTTCCACCCAGATGAGTGTGAAACCCTTTTATTAATGGAGCAAACCATTTCTTAGGAGAACAGAAACACCCTATTCCAGGTATCAAGGGTCACATAACTCACTCGCAGCAAGGACTCACACCTCTCTTCCACCTCAGCACAGAATGCTGAGAAAGATACAAAAGCTCAGGAGGATTGATAGGCTTAGACTCACAAAAATGTAGGATGCTGTTTTATTTTGTTGCATTGTACATCTTAAAAAAGAAGAGCTTTTAGGAAAAGTTGATGTGTAATCAGACTTATAAAGGCAAGAAGACATTGCTGCTTTAGCCACCTTGGCTCTAACATGCAGGACTAGTTCATAAAAGCAGACGTTTAAGCTCTACATAACCACCCTGTATAAATAACCTGTGGTTATATACTAATGTATGTTTGTTGTTGTAGGACTTCACATACCTAATGGTGGATCAAGTATCTATTCAGGACTTTTTCATAGTAATTTTTTTAGAGTGCTGAGTGTCTCTCAGGGGACTCCTTTAAATGAGCCAAAATAAAATGTAGTGGGGAGAAAAATGAGGGCAATCAGCACTTCTGTTAGTTCAACCATAATTCCATTACTTCTGTCTCACCCTGTTTTCCTGGTTGAGGCACCAAGGGAAGGGGTTTTGACCTATCATATGGTACTTGGTATTGGCTCAAGTTAAACTAAAGCATTGTTACAGGATACAGTGCTGCCTGGAGATGCTCTGTGCCAAGCTGCTTTTCTTCAATATGTAAGAAGGCAGGATGATGTCATATGTCACACTGCTTTAAAACAAGTAAGTAGGTATCTTGTGCAATGGTACGAAGTTATGGTGCCATGTCAGCAATAATTTCTGAGACTTTGGTATGCCTTTGGGAAATGTCATTTCTAGTCAAATCTCACTTCCTGTTTCAGAAGGGGTGAAGCATGAATTTTCCATTAACATGATGTTGTTCTGGTACATACAAGATACAAAAGAATTTTAAAAATGTGTTTTTACTGCATTAGTTTTGTAGCACTTTCAAAAGTGCTTCCTTCTAGCTCGCTGCCAGAAAATGAATTTCTGCTGGTTTTCCATGCTGAGTCATCTTGGTGATAGCCTTAGTATTGCCGATGTGAAAGGTTTAAGCTTCTGCTCCCGCCCTGTTCACATGCTGGCCTCTGTCCACGCTTCTGCCAGAGCAGTGTCCCTGCTGTTCTGGGTCACTTCTTGCTGCAAGGCTGGGGCTCAACACTTACAAAGTTCCAAACATCCTTAATAACAACAACAACAATAATAACACCGCAGTAATGATGCATAGCACAGACTGCTGGTTTCCAGACCCTGACACCTCCTGACCATATGATGGCGCCTGTGCATGCATGATCTATTCGGTTGCCACCTTCTTGAAATCACAGGACGCTACTTGTCATTCATCAGTTCTTCCATTGCCCTAGTTATTTTGGCACAACTGGCTTAATAGCTGGTGTTCACTTACTAGAATGCTGAAATTACGAATGTGCTCTGGCTTTGTGTTGCTGCTCCTGTTTCTGTAAGGTTACATCAATATCTGCATACCCAATTTCCTGTACATCTCCAGTCCATCCTATTTGCATAGTAGAAGTGCTTGTTTTGCACCTTTCCAGACTAAGCCTAGGGAAGATAAACTTTTTTACAGAGTTTTCGGTATGTGGCGAATAACATACCAGCTGTGACAGTCAAAAACTATATATGAAGTGCTGCAAGTACGTAAGTTCTCCTCTTTTCTTTACCTTGAAAGGAGTAAACCCGAAACAAAAACCTAAGCAAGTCTCTTAAGAAGGCAATATGCAACCAAGATGGAATCACAATGAATTCTGATGTCAAGGAACAGGCATCCTGTCAAAGAAATTACCTCAAATATTTAAATAAATACATATTCTTCAGTGTCTTTTATAAAATACAAGGAACTAGAACACCATGATCAAGCAGGAGTGAAAACTTGAAATATTTTAGTTGGCATAATGTTAATATATATGATATTTACTGGAGGAAGGCTTCATTAAGAAATTGCATGGTATGCATATATAAACCACCAGCTTTTCAGTTCAAGCAGTTGTTTTCTAAAGCCTAGTATACTTTTTTTAAAAAAAGTACATTTGAAAAAAATAAGATTCACAAATTAAGTCTCAAGTTCCACAATCCTTAGGATTCAAACGAATTGGGGTACCACCTCTTATTTATCCTTATTGCCTCTCTGCGGACAGTTGTACAGAACTAACATACTAGACAGGATTTCTTAGGTTATTTAGAAAGCCCCTTCCTCTGCCAAACATTACAGAAGTCTATGTTTGTTTCCATTTATATAGTTTATGATGAAAACCTGAAAAGCATTTTCTCCTGCAAGTGTGCCTTAAGGTTCTCTGATTTTTCTTCCTGTTTTTGCTTAATCATTTATTTGACTATGTAATCTATTAATTATGGATCCCAAAATACCTCATTTGCAATGTAGTCCTAAGTACTACACATACAGAATTAAGTCACAGCTTTTGCAAGTTTCCTTTAAAGTTTTTTGTTTTGTTTTTTTACTGACTAGCACTGGGCATTCTTTTGTACTTTTTCCTGGCTACAGCCCAATGCTGTTGACAGAGTTTAGGAACAACTATTTTTCTTTCTTTAAACTGTTTCCCATTTATTCCTTTGGCAGTAATTGTATACAACTTAATCCTTTATAAATCTAACACAGAGCCATACTTCTCTCAAAACATAGGTATGAGAGAGTAAACAGTCCTTCCACAGCAACATCAAGCATTCATGTGTTCTCCGTACGGTTTTGGCTTCTTGCCTCTTGCCTAGCTGTCTGACAATATGCGAGTTAAACATGCTGAGCCAGCAAACACCCGCACAGCCCTGCAACCATGTACCTGTACACTTCAGGCACACAAATTGCCCTGTTAACACCAGCAGGACCACTATGCACTTAAAGGTGAGTTTGTGCTCTTAAGTGTTTTGGAAACTGTTCTTAATTGGCTCCCATTTCCCTCAAGGTCCAATTCTTCCTTTACATTATTTGCTATGTCACACTGTTCCTTATTCCACCAATCTGTATGTTCACACTGGGAATTTATTTTTGCAGTTAAAACTTCACATTTGTCTCTGAAAGGATTTTGAGCTTGGTACTTACCACTGCATCTGGCAGCTTATGGACTGTTGAAAAGTGGCTCCATGTATAAGCAGATCACAAATGCCTATCAATTTAAGTAGAGCAAAGTCTCCATACCTCAAGTCAGGTGAGGCTAGGGAGAGATGAGGAGCTTCTTCAGAGAACCCTTTCTTTTTAGAAGTTTAATCTGTTCTCTGCTTCTTACTTTTGCTGCATTCTTCAGTCCCGTTGGGCCAACCCTGTATGATATGCATTTTCATGTAAAGGTAAGAGATTACTCGATTCTGTGCCAGAGGAACTAAATTTTCAGTTTTATGTAGGATCTTTCACCTGAGGGTCTCAAAGTAGGTTTGAGGCTCACCCAGAGTGCAGTTAATGCACCTATGAAATAGTTTTGCTGGAAAGTAAGCAACACAGCTTAGAACCAACAACTAAGGGTTGGTATTGGGACCAGCACTGTTTAAGATCTTTGTCAGTGACATGGACAGTGAGATTGAGTATGACCTCACCAAGTTTGCTGATGACACCAAGCTGTGTGGTGCAGTCTGCATGCTGAAGGGATGGCATTCAGAGGGACCCTGACAGGCTTGAAAGGTGGGCTGATGCCAACCTCATGAAGTTCAACAAAGCCAAGTGCAATCCCAAGCACAAATACAGGCTGGTGGAGAATGAATAGAGAGCAGCCTTGAGGACAGGGACTTGTGGGTGTTGGGTCAATGAGAAGCTCAATATGAGCCGGCAGTGTGCACTCGCAGCCCAGAAAGCCAACCGTATCCTAGGCTGCATCAAAAGGAGCGTGACCAGCAGGTCAAAGGAGGTGATCCTGCCCCTCTATTCTGTTCTTGTGAGACTCCACCTGCAGTACTACGTCCAGCTCTGGGACCACCAACACAAGAGAGACATGGAGCTGCTGGAGCGAGCCTAGAGGAGGGCTGTGAAGATGCTCCGAGGGCTGGAGCACCTCTTCTATGGACACAGGCTGAGAGAACTGGGCTTGTGCAGCCTGGAGAAGAGAAGGCTACAGGGAGGCCTTACAGCAACCTTCAAGTATCTGAAGGAGGCCTACAAGAAATCTGGAGAGGAACTTTTTACAAGGGCATGCAGTGACAGGACAAGGGGGAATGGCTTTAAAATGAAAGAAGGTAGATTAGATTAGATTTAGATTAGATATTAGGAAACAATTCTTCCCTGTGAGGATGATAAGGCCCTGGCACAGGCTGTCCAGAGCAGCTGTGGCTGCCCCATCCCTGGCAGTGTTCGAGGCCAAGTTGGATGGGGCTTGGAGCAACCTGGTCTAGTGGAAGGTGTCCCTGCCTATAGCAGGGGCTTGGAACTTTAAGGTCCCTTCCAATCCAAACCATTCTAGAATTCTGTAAAATACAATTAAAAATACAAAAATCAGTGTTATCTTTACTGCTACTCTAGCAGCAAATTTTGTTTCTATTAAAGTCTTATTGCAGAGTTTGTCCTTCAGTGTAATGGTTGGGTTTGTAGTGTCCTGCTGTCTTGTTATGTATTAGAGAAGCAGGGAGGGGCTGGCACAGTCCTATTTCAAAATACAATGCTTATATAGTCACTGAAGCAGATTGCCCTCAGGGCCATCTACAACTTTGTTAACCAAGAGGAGAAAATAGAAGTATCTTTCAATGATCTGAATCTTCTCTAGCCTTTCTTTTGCAAGATCTGTCAGTGCTGACTTCCAGCACTGTATCAAGCTGAGTATTTACTAGCCTCTTTACCTTTATTACATGTAGTCACCAACAACTCTGGAGGCAGTTACATTTGATTCATGGACAAATAAGGCAAATGAAATGTGAGCTTACAGAGTTACAGGGTGAATCTTGCATTTTTTGGTGGGTTGTTTTTTTCCTCTCTCCCCCCCAAAAAAAACACCCCAATGAGTTTAAACTAAGATGATGTTATTTGAATTCATAGAATAATTAACCTCCATGCCCCATTAAAAATTCCTTTAAGCTTACAGTTAATAAGGAAACACTAGAAATAAAATGGCCTGTGAAACCCTACTTTTAACAACTAAGTATGAAGAAGTCTAATGAGTATTTGTAAGCCAGAGTATTTAAAGGAGTTTAACGCAGCCATAGAACTTGTCAGTTCTCCATTCTCCATAGGATGCCAGTGACCCCTGCTCAACACAAGGACCACGCTGCTGTTTAAATACAAGACTTTTTTTCAATTTTAACTTTTTCAATTAAAAAAAACAAAAAAAAAAAACAAAATTGGGGGGGGGGGGGGGCGCTATTTTAACAAGGGCAAATAATCTGCATTTTGATCTCAGGCAGCTGACAAAACTGGAATCTTCCCAAAAAACATCAGTTTGAGGCCAACACCCATTATGGAAAATTTCAGACTTGGGAAAGTTGGTAAAGTTTTATGAGCAACTAAAAACCTGTATTATGTGAAATGTCAGACAGCTTCAAAATGAGTGACACTACACTGCACATTGCTAATATTTTTAAATAGAGAGGTTATCAGAGAGAGATCACAGCTGTAGATATTTCATATTGGTCTTACAGCATTTTCACCCATTTAAATCTACTGGGTCAGTACAAACCTCTTGACTTCTTATAACACCACCATATCCAGACTCTCATCTTCATCTACAACTATCTTGCATAGCACAGCACAGGCAGAACAAATACAAGACCTTCCCACTACTCTTCCAGGTCCAAACAGCCAGCGGGTTCTTTACATTTGACACAGTTCTCAAACACAAGTGATGATACCTGCATAAAAACCACGTCAGCTGGTTGTCAGCATGATATATCTGCACACATTTTTAAATTTCTTTGTAAGTGGGAAGCATTGGAAGGTCTAAATCTGAATTCATTGCTCAGTCCCCAGACAATACTGAAAATACCCTCAGATCACAGATCTGCTTTCCAGGAGTCATTAATATCTTCTAGGTACACAATTTGCATTCATTAATCCTAGATGCACAATTTTGCATTTGGACACATAAAGATATGACTGAGGTGGTTCAATTTATAAAGTAATCAAATGGTTCCATTTACAAAGTAATCCAGTCTGTGTGATTGTTCTGCGTTTCTGTTTTCTCATCATCCACATGTACTCACTCCAGCGTCTTTCTCACAGCCACAAATAAAATCAGTGGCAATATTACGATGACTTCCGAACTACGATGGAAATGTTGGGCTGTAACTAAGGCTCCAGCTCTGTGAACAATACGACTGTTTATTTTCATAATGTTACTTATTTCTTTGGATCTCTCAGTCCATCAACTTTTAAGATATTTAACATACTTTAAGCTATTTAACATACTGTACTGAAACCGAGTGAGACTTGGTGTGTGTAGTATGAAGCACCTTACCAAGGTCTACTCCATCAACACAATTTTGTGCTGAAGATTCTCACCTAGTCAAGTTATGAAGCTTAGTGTGTTTGCCAAGATCTCTTTTCCTTAAGCCACACATACTGGTATTAGTTATCTTCCTGCCTTTTTTTCAAAGAAATCCTGTGTTTCCTTTTCCCTTATTTTGATGAGGACTGACTTTAACATGACAGGCTGGCTCAATTAGTACCTGACTCATCCTGCTCATTCCACTCCCTGTTTTTCATCTGATGGAAATATACATTGGCTAAAACCTGTTGCTACTAACATCCTACAAAGCTCTTTGTCTGCTACAATCCTTGTCAGGGCAGTTTTGGTGGTGATACAAGCTGTATGAAAACAAGAACAGTAAATACTCGAGTGTTTGGGTTCTTTAGAAATTAACTTTTTTTTTTTTTTTTAAATGCATGTAGTCTTCAATGTATAGCTGAGAAGTTACTAGTAATGGCAATTCATTTTTCCTGTGTATCACAAGCAGTTTAGGGCACAGCAGTATTAAAAGCACTGCCTCAGAATCACATATGCAAGTTTTTGCGCTTACGCCAAACTCCTGTTTCTTGTGTTTCAAGGGTGGACCAGAGCCAGCTAAAATTAAAAGATGTTTTGTCCCAACTCTTCTTCAGCTTAGTCAGCAGCTACTACAGTTATGAAATAAACTTTTACCACTGTTACAAGCATTCTGCTATTCCTTTTTAATCAATTGATTGCAGGTAAGTATTGGTGTATGGGCAATATTAGAAACAACTGAAATAGAAAAAGTTACGTAAGACTTTAGTTCCTTGGGTAAGATTACAGTACTTTCTTTTTATAGACAAATTTCAAACAGAAGCTAGAAGACTGAAAAATTATTCATAGAATTTTCATGAAAATACATTAACAGAACACTATTCTGCAAGAAATAAGCACAACCCCTCCACTTCCTTGCCTACCCAGCCTCTAATTCCTCTCTGTCACTGTGGCTGCATAGCAAAAACATGAACAGATATCTTCAGCAGGCTCAGTATTCTTACTGTACAGTGAAGTAACCTTGATTCAACTCAAAATGACCACTCATCACTAGTCAATGGGTTTGTCAAGGTTGAAAAATTGCTACTGTTAAAGGCAACACAATAATGAACTGGATGGTAACTCGATTTCCTTGTAGATGAAGAAGCAAACACATTTTTACCTAAATGCCTTCAAACCAGTCAACACAAAGTTGACAACCGTCAACTCAGCATCTTATAACCCAGGGCTGTTAGCAATAGAGGACCAGAAGCCTGAGAAATTTGGCAGGGTTACTCGGCACACTGGTGTTTGCGAAGCATGTTGCCAACACCTGGAAAGGGATATAAATAAGACATAAATAGGAAGGAATATAGTTCTTTCTTTACTAATTTTTTACAATTTATTCACATGTAAATTATTAGTGAGATGGATGCAAACATTCTCAGCAAACTTACAGCCATTCCAATTTTTCATGACTTGGAAGGACAAAGACAAACTGTTTTTAAGATTACCTACATGGAACCTGATCATAACAGTGCAATAGCCAATGTGATAGTTACGCATCCAAGTAAGAAATTAACAGCACATATCTTCAGAACTAACTTCATGCTAAGCATGAGTATAATTTTAAGAGGATATTCAGCAAAAGC